ATGCTCCCGACAATTGCACATTTTTTTGTCATTCAAGTTGTCCATTGGGGTGTTGGTCATGTCGAACTCAATAAATTTTAGTGCATATGTCCCGCAATCAGCACTACAATAGGAGGAAGACATTAGCATTAGAATCAGCTTATAGAATAATTGTATTATGTAAGGTTTATACAAAATTTACCTTGAGTCATTTGTCTAGACGGGAAGGCACTTGAGTGGCCATTTTCCCGTCAGTAGTTCACCACCCAAGTGTTGAAACATCTTGCTGTCACACAACAGCCGTGAGAACAATATACACAGTAGCTGTAACTCCATCTCCAATTGCCTCTCTTGACAAATACTTGGGCTGCAGTCAAGGATCTACAGCAAGCCCTCCTCTAGTAGCGCGACGACGGTTATCCAATGCATATCTTTGATGTTCATGATGCAGTATATTTTTTTAACGTTTGCCCAACTCTTGCCATGTTTGGGCCTTTCCCCCCATATATATTGCATCATCCTGTCATTAAACCAAAAATCATTAGAGACACCGTCGAAGTCATTTGTGGCCAATCTTTTCCACTTGCCTCCCCTTGTTGCACCTCTACCATTAGCCTTTTTCATTAAAGTGTCATATGTAGTTACTAGCGTTTGGCCAAATGCCACATCGGTGATGGCATAGTGTGAATACAAAATATCACCATTATTGCTCTATCATAGCCTCATAAGTGCCAATATCTCATCGATGTGCTGCATCAAATAAAAACAACATCATAAGTATACAATACCTCATGGAAAACATAAACAAAAATAAGAAAAATCAGGGAAAATAATTCACCGAGTCGTCGAGCCACCTACCCATTGTCAACATCTTTTCAAACCACTCCTAGGGATAATCTTCGATCTTGCACTTCACATGCCCATCACTTCCAAAATCATTGTAATAGGCATAAAAGAGTTTTTTCTTTTCCTTATCTATTGGCCTATACAAATCGACCTTTAACTCCTCCGTTTTCACTTGCCCACTTCCTCCGCCTTCCTCCCCACCCTCCTCTATTTTTACTTCCCCATTTCCTTCATGTCCTACCTCACCCTCCTCCATTTTCACTTCCCCATTTCTTCCGCCTTCCTCCTTACCCTTCTCTATTTTTGCTTCTCCACTTTCACAGACTTCCTCATTTTTTTTTCTTCGTTTTCCTCTTCTTTCCATATGTTACTACCGTATAAGGAGAAATTACGTACTTACTCTTTCAGCTCTCCCTTTTATGCTCAGGTTGCACTTCAACCACTTTCAATACCCTACCAACTTCCTCCACCACCCTACCAACTTTCTCTGCCACCCTATCGACTTTCTCAATCCACCTTTTCATCTGCTCTTCCATCTTCTCAAATCTCTCATAAACGGCTATTGTAAACTCTCAACATACCGTTTATGAGGTCAACTACCTCATTCTCCTGACCCCACACCTCGGTAAAGCGGTACTTGTTGTACGGTTTGCAATTGGGTGGAGGTACGAACCTCTTCATCCTCCTCCTCTTCCCTCCCGCCGATGGAGCTTCATCATCCTCACATAACAACATTCTCACAGTATGGCCCTGCAACAGCACTCACATGCGTGACCCTTCTAGGTCCCACATTAGGCGTTTTATCCCTTCTTCTACTACATCATCATGCTCTGAACATGTAACATACTCCTTCTCCTGCTTAACCCTAGTAGCGTGAGGAAAGGACGACGACCCCTCAATAAAAAAATCAATCAAATTTAAGCCACATTTAAAAGTAAGTGCATATTCAAATTTCCTTTAATTTTACTTGGCCGCTTGAATTTCCATGTCTATTTTGTCATATCTGTCTATTTTGTCGTCCTCCTCCCTCCCGTTGATTGGACTTCATCATCCTTGGCGTCAACAACATTCTCTGCGTGACCCCTTCTAGTCTGCATTAGGTAGTCTATCCTTAATCTGTTGCATCATCCATGCTCTGAACAATTAACATACTCTTCCTGCTCAACCCTAGTAGCAGCGAGGAAGGGACGAACGACTCCCTCAATAAGAAAAAATCAATCAATTTAGCCACATTTAAAAGCAAGTGCATATTCAAAAGATTAATCCTTTAATCTTACCTAGCCGCTTGAATTTCCATGTCTATTTTGTCTTAATCCAATGGGTATATTCTTGATGTGCGAATTAGAATTGCGATCACTATCCGAAGTCTTCTTACTGCCCCCCCCCCCCCCCCCCACCTACCTCTTCCCCTTTCCTCGGCTTAGCCAGGACAGGGACAACCTCATATATCTAAGCCTACATTGTAAAAAAACAATTCATATCATAATTAAAACACATATCATACAAAAAATATAACAAAAAGCTATTAATATTTGCCAATGGAAAGCCAAACAAATTGTACGTGCTCGGTCTATTCTTCTCGACAGATTGGCGATGTTTTATCGCCATGTCTTTTCCATGCAGAGAGTCCATGGTTAGCTGAAATGATACCCGTCCCCATGGATAAGCATTAAAGAAGTCTATGTTGCTTGCAAACTTCACCCAATCCATCTTAACGACTTTTGTTAAGTCATAAGCCATTAGGATCGAATGCACGAACCATACCAAGCACATCTTGAGCCTCTCTGAGGAGTTATACCCACCTTCTCCTAACCTCCCCTCTAAATCGTGTCTCGTAACAGACACCTTCCCCCCTAAAAGCTTTTTAGCCAAGTTATCGGCTACCCTACTCTTCTTTATTCTCTCTTGCTCTTTCGCATCTAGAAATGCCCCACATCTTAAGCGTGTAATCAAGGCATATTCCATCATCCCAAAACGTAGTGGCTTCCCATCCACCACGAACCACATTTCAAATTTTTTTTTTTTTTTTTTTTTTGGCTTTTAACTGAGTGCAACAACATATAATACACTCCCTACCCCCAGAACATCTTTTTTCCAATTTTCTCCAATGTTCACAAAATGATCGAAACAACTCTCTTTGAATCGATTCATACCCTTCTTTTGTTCATCTAAAATCTCTATTATTCTGGTAAAAACTTGCCAACTTGACCTAATTGTCACCTTTACGGGGAAGTACGGTACTTTATCGTTTACAACCTCCAACCCATAGTCTTTATAATTTATGCTTCGAAAAATCTGCACAATCGATATAAACTAAATATCAGCAAAAAAAAAAAAAAAAACAAACAAACAAACAACCAAAACATCCAATAGGCTGCCAATTTGGGGGATATGGGCTTTAAGAGCATCGGGGAGTGGGTGTTTTTGGCCTCGAGAGGACTGGGGGAAGCCAATGCAAGCCCTACAAAGGCTGTTGTGGCAGGTTTCATCACTAGAGCTTGTTGAGGATGGCAGGAGGTGGCAGAATAGAGGAGCTGGACTGCGCTACAATGCCATCCCCAGCCCTCCAACCTCCCACAAACAACCTCCCTACAGCCTCCCTTGCCTTCCCCCATCCTCTGGAACCCAAACAAAGCCACTTCCCCCATGCCTGCCAACTACTCGACAAAACGCCACAACCACCATAGTAATAAAACCAACTACATATCCCCCAAATTCGCACAAATCAATCAAATTTCTCATCAAATTCAAAACCACCAATAAAAAACGTACTCTTTCTTCACCGACGTCCTCCTCCTCGCCTGAATTCTTGCCGGCGTCCTCCTCTTTAGAACCATTTTTTGATTCTTCTCTCTGTTCTTGTGCTGCCGCTATGTCCTCTGCCTCTGGACCACCTTGACTCATCAGATGATCCACCGGAGCATCTTCTTCGACAGCCTTTGAACAACCGTCACCACCAAAGTCTAGGATTTGGAATGGGGTTGGATTTTCCTCCTCTTTGTGAATATCAACTATGATTTTGTGTAAGGAAGCTTTAGGATCGAATATTTACTGAAAATAGGGCACTTTTATCGGCGGAAACCACAAAGAAATCGAAGGTGTTCGTCGATCCATTTTTGGGTATATTGCTCAATTAAGCGATTTTGAAGGGTGGGGGGTTGTTTTTAATTTTCAAAATTTAAACAAACTTCTGTTAATTATAATATTACCCACATATTTTTAAATCTTTTCAATTTAATCCGTTTTACATGTTTAATGAATCCTAAGTGTGCCATGTCAGTTTTTCTAACTTAAAAAAAATTGCAAAATATTTTCAGGTTTATTTTTTGAAGAGTAAACGATATTTTCCCACCCAAGGTTTGGCGAATCTACAAGTTCCTACCCCTGGTTTCATAAATTGCAGATTCTCACCCTTAAATTAACAGATAACTGTTTAATCTAATAGTTAAAAGGGTAAAATGGTCATTTCAAACATGAAAATTTCAAAATAATCCTTCACTTCTCTAATTCACCCCACCGGCGATTTCAGGCCATTTGGGCATGTTTCCGGCACAATCAATCCCTCCTGATACGACCATTACAATCCCCTCAACCCCCACATCAAAACCCCTAACCTCCCCGCCTGATTGAATCCCCTAATCATCGGTCGTCGCTTTTAGTGTCAATCGGTGTTTCATCCAAATTCTGGCAAGTCCCGACACCAAAAACCACCCCCAAGACCACCAATAGCATCACCAGCTTCCCCCCACCAAAACCCCCAACATTGCCAACTGCAATTGCCCACCAATCGCCGTCGCCTCTCCCTTAGGTTTTTGCATTTTTCACCCCTTTTCAGCCAAATTTCGGTACCTCGCCGATGTGCAATCGGGTGGAAAAGTTAGGGGTTTTGATGAGGAGGATAAAGGGATGTTGATGGTGGTGTCGGGGAGGTCCAATGGTGCTAGAATCAGGCCGAATTCTTAGCTTGGCTAGGATCCTCTGGGGGTTATTTGAGAAAATTTGATATATAGAGGTTATTTTAAGAAAAAAAATATCAGCGTTAATTGAAGGGTGGGAATCTGCAATGTATGAAACGAGGGGTGAAAACTTGCTGGGTTGCCAAACCTTGGATGGGATCGTTTACTCTTTTTTTAAATTAAACTAGGGAGGTTTGGCCAGTTAAATTTCCTCCACATAAACACGCCTCTGGTTGTTGACTTGTTTGTTGTATAGAAGTCCAAGCGATGACAATATTTTCTTCCATCAACCACATCTCTTCTACTTTAAGTTGTTTCTTTTTCCTGTAATCACACAAATCACTCTGACTCGAGCAATCTATGGAGACTCAACTTTCATGGCGATTGAGATTATCCTTCAAGAACGCTACTATTTTCATTACCGTTTTGAATGTCATCGCTGCTCTTTTCATGCTTCACTGCTTTCTGTCTTCTTCTATCTCTTCGCGTAACAAGCTCTCCTCTGATCAACTCACTTCAGGTCTCTCTTTTCCTTCTTATCTCTTCTACCTCTATCATCCTTTTGCTAACATAACTTTGAACATCATGTAGGTGTTGGATAATTTTGCTGGTTATGTTGCAACTATTATTTGTTTCTTTTTTTTTTTTTTTTTTTTTTTATTATCGGGGTTTTTGTTTATTGAAGAAGTTCATTAATTTGTCTATGGTTGATGGTTCTGTTGTTGGTGAGATGGGGTGATTTACTTTTCATTTAAGCTGGGATGTTTTGGATTTATGTGTATTGCATAGTTATGTTGGGTATGATGAAATTTTTTGTTTAATTTATCTACTTTTTCTTATCTTTATCTGGGTTAGATTATGGATATTGTTTGAATTGAATTAGATTGGTGGTTTATGGTAGAACTGATGGTGAAATGGGTGAGCATGTTTGTTTTGGGTTAGATGGGTTTTTTTATTTTTATTTTATTTTTATTTTTTTTGTGTGTGTTGAGTGGTATCAACAATTTATGATCCTGTTAATGCAATGCTGCTATAGGGGAATTCTTTCATGGCGATAGGTCTTCGAGGATGGGTTTAGTGTTGATCTATGGTTGATGAATTTGGAGACTGAAGAAACTGTTATTAATATAGAGGCTTATTAATATAGAGGCTTTTAACCACTTAAGCCTCTGTTCTTGGATTTTTCCAGGAATTATGTTCAGTTGTTCTCTATGGTTAACTTACATAGAATTCTTTTAAGTAGTTTCTTTTAAACCTTGAAGCTGATATTTACCCCTATATGTCATTTCATTTAAGTTTGTTTTCAAGAATTGACTAATCTTTGAAAGTTTGGATTTTTATTTTCCAAATTTGTGCCCTCCAAAGTCTTTCCCAGTACTATTTAAGAGTTCATGCTTTTGTTAGAATTTTTTTCCTTATTGGTCAGTTTGTTTCTCTTTTTGTCATTGCTGTCTGCTTGATTTGTGTATGGCAAAAATTAAAACCGACAAGTGAAGTAATTTTTTTCTATTTTCTGATTTAAGATCTCTTTTCTTGGAATCCTTCTCAAACAAGACCGATGACTGAGGATGGCCTTATCTAAATACCAAGAAGCATATACCTCTAAACTAATTGTGGTTTTTTAGTAGTCTTAAGTTGATGATAAATTAAGGATCGAGAAACACTTTTTTTCTGTATCCAATATGAAATGCTATAATTTGGTGATTTTAACACAGATTAAATAAAGGTATTTTGTCTGCATTAAAATTCAAATTAAAATTATTCAAAATTCTATTTACTTTCTTTGCTAAAGGTAAAAAGTACATAGAAATACCATTCTACTCAATCATTTTTATCAGTTGCATGGCCCTAAAAGATTGTTGTTTATGGGGGTGGTTCCCAAATTTCTTCGTAGCACTATCTCCCTTTTCATTGTTCCTGAAGTATACGTAGTTTTCTTCGTAGCACTATCTCCCTTTTCATTGTTCCTGAAGTATACATAGTTTTCTATACGTGTGTCTCGTAGTCAATGGGGTTAATCGGTTATCTGGTGGGATTTAAGAAGGTAAGCTATTCAATTTCTGACATACTAAATTTTAGTTGAATCCAATTTGTTTGGTTTGGTTCCAAGATTAAAATATTTTGGATTCTGTTGTAGTTTAGTCTAACATGTAAGGGTCAATTTTAGGGTTATGTCTTAAGTGAATCTATTCTGTTAGATTGATTCTTGTTAATGAGTTTCAGGTGTAGAGCGCAAAATTGTCATCAATCTGTATATATTCTCTGTAATGAAATTTATCACTTGTCTTTCCCGTGCTTGCAGTCCAAAGGCCAGATATCATGATTTGATTATGTGCTTTCTGTGAATGTTATATATTCTTCGTCTTTCCCATATTCATGCAGTCCAAAAGACCAAAGGTATAATTTGATTGGGTTTTTCTTTTGTCTAAATATTATTTCTCCATCATCATATCTTATTGCCATTTCATTCATAAAGTGTTATATGTTGAAAGTTATTTACATTTTGTAGGTCTTTCTTTTTCTACCTTGTTTGCTATCTCATATATATTGATTGATTGTTACTGGCCTTACCCATTCATTGAAAGTTGTGTATCACTATTTGAATGCAGTTCAGCTCAAGTACATCAAAGAATCTGAAGAGATTCGCCTCGCTATGCAACCACTGGAGCTTATAAAAAGAGTAAGATGATTTGGCTCCTTGATTTTAATTGTCAATTTGGCTGAACGTCTAACAAATATAGATACAGTATATAAAAACAAGTGATTCGTAGTAGTTCGACAAGTACATGGGTTTAAGATTTCTTTTTAATTTTTGCTGGCTACTTGATCATTCTTCATTAAAGTGTCCAATATCTTTTTACATTCAAGTTGAAATATTGTTACTGGTAGATGATACATCTTCGCATACGGCTTAATTCTTTTTCCATATTTTCAGGTGAGGGAAATTCAGCAAGAAGTAAATGCAGAACCCGAAAATGTGCAACAGAAAGATGCAAAGCAGACAGCAGCAGTTGATCTTTCGAAAAGGTTAAAGGATCTACACTCCGCCAATGATGCTGCCAACTTAAAAGGTGCCTTACTCTTCTATTGCGCTTTAGAATTTCTGCATTTCATATTTTTCTTTTGTGATACATTGTTTAGGATGGAAAATGTGGTCAAAAGGTTATTTTACTGATACTTAGTACCTTCATCAGCTTTAGAAGAATGGCGGAAACGAAAAATGGAACGAGCCAGGCAACGTCAACTGGAAAAAAATGGAACTACCACTTCTCAAGCATGAGTTACATTCTAAAAGCCTAGATTAGTGATGCTGTTAAATATTATAGCATCAAACATTGAGAAGACTTCTTGAGTAATCTTGAAAGTTCTCATTTACATGTATATGTAATGCTTACAAAGGCCCTTTTTGCTTTTTCCTGAAAATATAACAGTTATAATTTAACTACAGTAATAAAAACAAATATGAGTAAACAACATGTTCGCACCCAAGGTTTGGTGAAACGGCAAGCTTCCACCCCTAGTTTCATAAATCTCAGATTCTCACCTTTAAATTAATAGAAAATCATTTAATATAATTGTCAAAGGGTAACGTGGTCATTTGCACTACATTAAATTACAAATTGACCGGAAACCAACAATCGATGGGGTTGGGTAGTAAGGGTAAGTGGCGTGTTGGTGTGTGAGGTAAGGGAGAAGTTTGGTGGTGAGGGGGAAAGCCTCCGTCGTTGGAAAACGGTGGAAAAAATAGTGATTAGATGTTCGTTGAGGCAAATCCTCGAACACATGGTGTACACGAAAGGGAAGGGGATGGTGAGTTGTCAATAGGAGGAAATTGGCAAAAAAAAAAAAAAAAACACTCAAACATCACAAAACACTTCAAAATAATCACCCACTCCAAAGACAACCAACTCACCCAATTAACTCCAAAAAAATCCAATGTAAACCCAAATTAACAAAAACCCACAAGAAACCCTAGAGGAGGTCATCGACAATCGGAGAGGGTTGTTGGGGTTTTTGAAGAGGAGAGGTCAGTTAGTCTAAAGGTGGTGAGAGGGTGGATTTTGGTGGTCAAGATTGGTCAAAACAAGAGGGATGGATGTGCGAATCACGAATCGATCGGAATCCAATGATGGGCAAGGTTAGCAGGAAAGGGTTAAGTGGGGTTTTGGTGTGTGAGGCTTGGAGAGAAGTTTGGTGGTGACCGGGAAAGCTGTTGTTGAAAAAAGCAGGTGGCGACGTTTGTTAACATGCGTTGCTTCCTGTTAAAATACACTATGTCAAGAGCAATATGATAATAACACTCTTTACACTATGTCAGAACCTAAAAATAATTAACGGAGATAGTTTAAGGGTAGGAATTTGGAATTTATGAAACCAATGGTAGAAACTTACCATTTCGCCAATTCTTGGGTGGGGAACATGTTTACTCAAAAAATAAAAACTAGATTAGTAGCGCTATTTCAAAACTCGGCCCGACCCGACCGATTTAACCAGTTTAATCGGGACATGGAAGCCTCTTCGAGTCGGGTTTACATATTATTCTTATTCACCCAAAACCTTAGAATTTGGGATAATGATCGACGAACAATTGAAGGTTGGGATGTTGAGGCTTTTTAAGAAAAAGTGTTGGTGAATGTAATGGTGTGGACGAAATTTATTTCCAATGAGCAAATCGACCGAAAATCGAAAAACACTAACGACAGAAACAACTAGCTTTTGTTGGCAATTAGCGAGGCTAACGGGAGTGGGGTGAGGTAGGTTTTTGTCGGAAGGAAGAGGGAAGTATTTTTGGGGTACTGAAGAGGGTTGTCAACGCCGATATCAATGAGATCTAGCTTGAAATGCCGACGTTGGCGTCGATGTGATTTGGCTGAAATTGAACCAATATCAACCAGATCTTGAATAGATTTTCAGGGGAATGGACTCAAACCTATACATGCCTATAGGGACTCAAACGATTGGGGTTCCATTTTGGATGTCGCCAACCGATTTGCATTTGGGATTTATTTGCTAAATTTCAAACCTATAGGAACTTAACTGTGATTTTCATTGGTGTATTTGCTAAATTTTAAAACTTTTTGTCAACAGGTTTGATCAGTGGTCAAACCGATTAAACCGGTCAACCCAAGACTTGACAATGTTGCCGGATTTCATCCCGGGTTGGGTTTTAAAACATTGATTAGTAGTGGAATGGTCCTGCAAATTATAATTTTCGCGTTATGCTTCTTTGTTAAACAAAAACTACCAAATACTTTCCACATAATGGCTTTGCACGAACGGGGAAAAATGAAAACATTTAGCTTATGGAATATTATATCTTGGAATGCAATTTGTGTACATCTAATACATAACAGGTGCACATTCTAAAGCAGCATTATATCATGCCTAACAATTACAAAGCATCAACTCACCATGGCCAGCTGCAGCCTCTTTACATATTTCCGGCCTCAAGATGACTTGATAATCCGTCTTCCAAGGGCTTTTTTCCGTGTATCAACCTCCAAAAACAGCGACTAGAATAAAGAAATTAGAAGAACAATAATTGACATGGATTTACTCCATCCATTTATACATGCACTAATACAAGTTATGTACAAGTTTATGAGTTTGATCAAATATGTACAGAATATTAGTACAAGTTCATGACAATAAAAATTGCAAAACCTCAGGATGACTAAACCAGTGGGATAGCAAAAACAGACTTCATTCCATAAGTCCAGAAATGGTTATAATGTCAAACAGTCAGCAGAAGTCAGTGCAGTAGGACCCATTGCTTATCAGAGCAAATTCAGATACCGATCTTTACTTTTTTTTTTTTTTTTTTCTTGCCAGGAGTTGCAATCATTCTTTTCCTGCAACAATGAATCTTTAGTACAATGAACTCATGGCAAGAGAATGAAGAGATGCAGCAGTATAGATGATGAGTCAAAGCTATAAGATAACCTAATACCACAGCCAAAGCGCCACTTTCCAAGAAAAAAGATAAGGACCCAAAAATTTCGCAGTAACATGCTGCAAAAGCTTTTGTACTTGTATTATCCGGTTTCCATCTGCAGAAGATAATTGTAGTACGTCACGTCAACACATTTTATCATATTCATAGATTCAAATTTTCACTGGGTCATAATCTATAACAAATAACAATTGTAGCATAATACGCAATGAATTAATGGTCAGTAACTATCATGATTTCTAAATATATAAACGATACAAAAGCAACTGAAATATATATGCACGTAGTAACCCACCAAAACCTAAGCTTATAAAAAAAAAATCCAACATCCAACTTTAGTTCAGAAACAACTCTACTCATGTAGTCACCAACTAACAGATAAAGTTAACAGACAAATCCAGCATCCAACCATAATCACTAGATCAATAAGTATAAATTATTACAAAATGTCATGCAGAAACTTAAGATAAGCAAGTATGAATACAATAGCACAAACGCATCAATTTATAGCTGAACCGACAGCAGAAGCAAAGTAATTACCAAGCCAACAGGTAGCTTTCAGATCCCACCTAAAAAATAAGCCTATAAATAACTAAAAGCACTGAAAATGTCTCAACTCTAATTGCTCAACTTAGTGGAGCAGACTCAACTAATCACACCTGCCCTTTCAGATTTATTGAACTGCACACTTTTTGAACTACAAGTTCAGTTTCCTAAATCCAAAACCTGTGCAACTGGATTCAAGCATAGAAATGGTTGCGTGCAGTGCCACATTATTCAGGACAAACAACTGTGAACCCACAAGGCACTTTCACCGAGAAGAGAACTACATACACATTCAAAAGTTTTGGCACATTAAAAGAAATCCAAAATGGCCTAGAAAAAAAACCACCATGAAATTCCTTGACTTGTCCCCATCACATTAAGTGCCTTTAACCAAAAATCCTATAGTTTGCCTTTGCCATGGCTTCTGGACAATCTCATGCATTTATTCCGCTTTAAGCTACAGGATTTTGAAGAACTGATCCCGAAGAGGAAACATGATAAATAAAAAGAATAAAAACAGGCTCTACCATATCTAGTAAGGTTTCAGTGAGCTATTACACTTACATATAACCAAACATCATAAAATGTGACAACACAGATTCAAAGACGGAATCCAACTAATTTTTATTTCTCCACATGTATGATATAAAAGGCCAAACTATGCCATAACATTGGCATCAAATGTATGCCTTTTCTCATTCACTTTCTTCCTACACTTATGGTAAGTTAATGGAAATTTCTGAATAATATTTTCTTCCATATTTACAGAAATTAAAGAGGAAACTAGGGCAGTTAACTGGAAATATAAAGGCAAATTAACACATAAGCAATATAACAAGCCTTCTATCCTTTAAACATGAAAAGGTTACAATTTGAAATTCACTAACCATATGTTCGCTTTCTCTTTCTCTCCACAACCTTTAAGTTAAACAGAAAACTAGAAGATTAGTAGCATAACAAGCTTTTTATACAATTTCTTATATATATGGAGGCTAAACATCTTAATATTTGCTTATTCAATGACCTTATATACACGACACACAGAATTGAAAGTGTAATTGGAAGTTGAAAGAATTTTTGATCTAGTCCTAAAGTAAATTAGCATCAATGCATTCGATATTCTTGATTGTTGTTTTTCCATGATTTAGCATTAATGTTAAGTTATACAGGCAACTAGCATAGCTATCACTTACCATTTATCACTATTCCTAGCACTACATAGATATTAACAGAAGTCAATTATTCAACTTGATATACCAAATCAGCACTAATATGAGCACATGTACAACCCTCATTTGTTTAGAATGGTGATTCTCTCAATTAAAAGCAAGAAATCTCTATATAAAAAAGCAATTCAATAGTCATCTACTGGGGACTCTCTAACCATCACCACTGAAGCAGCTGCAATCTCATTCGCACATTCTATGTCCTACAATTATATAGCCTAGGAGTATTAAATTCTTCGACATCACTTTAACCAAAGTACATTTAGTTGTTTTTTGCTCTATTATAACTTCTTATCCACCAAAGTTCCCTCTCACTGGCCATAAAATTTGCATAGACTTCTCTTTATAAAAATATCCAATCCATTATCATGAAATACAACTAAGATGGGAATAGGTATCAAAATTGATGCAACTGCCTCTAGCACTAGAGAATCTAATGCCTTAAAAACCCCAAGCTCAATTGAAAAGCATTAAAGACTTTCCATAATCCCAATAATAGATTTAAATACCATGTAAAATGAACTCTCTCATGACATTACATGCATTTTCTGCAGCAAAAGCGGATCTGGCACTTAACTTGAAGCTTCAAATGAGTATCTTATATTATAGGGCAATTTGTTGATCTGTAATTTATCTACCCAAAGTTGGCCAAAAAAACTGTCATTTGCCGGGGCTACAGCTGGCCTGCACTATCACAAGTACAGATCAGGCATAGCTCAGGGTACCAATATTAGAGGAAGTGAAGAATGTCTGTGTGGATTAAGACTACAAAAAGGTTTGAAAATAGCATAACCAATGAATTAAGACTACATGGACCACAGAGATTTCTGAATAGCTGACTCTCAACCATCTTTGTAAAAGAGGATGCCTCCCAACTCTTTTCGAAGATATAAGCCTATATAAAGTATAAAATGCAATTCAATAGCAAGAAAACTTTCAAAATTTGGGTGTTACTTGGTTGAACCCAAATATATCCCTAATGGAAATTATAGGTTTTATTTAATGGTTTTGCTCGCTACAGTAGCCATTCACAATGTATGGCTAGATAAATTTAGAGGGATGAGTATGTCTATGAGCCCTTAATTCTTATGCCTAACATGAGTACCTCAAATGCAATCCAGGAATATCATTTCACCTGAGTCCACATGACCACGAGAATAATAAAGGACAATAGAGAAAATAGATGCCAATTTAGGCCTACCAATGAAAAGTAATCGCAGATAAATATAACTTTAAGCAGCTCAATTTTAATAACTACTAATATATCTACCTGTGTTTTACTTAACCTTTGAATTATTTCACACATAAATGTGAAACAGATAAAGTTTAGCTCTGGCTTCCTGCTCTTCCAAAAGCATGAATCATAGCAAACCAATTTATGATGATCTACTATGGACCAACAGCAAAAAAATTCAACCCAACCAAAATTATTGGGACTGAACCCTACTACAGTGGTCATGCTAAAAAATCACAAACAAAGAGTCTTGCTAAAATTAATACATGCATGTAATATTGAATCAAAAGAGCCAAACAAGAAAACTTAAGAGGCTACACCAACATACAAGCACATAGAATTTATGTGGAGAATGCCTACAACAAGCAAAAAGTGTAACAAAACCATTATCCGTGATATCTATGAAAGGCCACAAAGTCCAATCAAAAGGCAAGAAAGTCCATTATTAGGTCATCATCAATCAAAGACAAATATACAACCTCAAATTTCATTATAAATACTGATGGAGACTTGTCTCAAGGGATCCACTGAACCTTATGAACGGATCAGTGTTTCACAAGAGAGAATCTATTAGAATTAAATATTAATTCTGGGCACTTAATAGTTTAACCGTTTAGGTCAAATGGTCAGAAAACATAATATTAAAGTAAAAGACCTGAAAACAAATACCGTTTGTGTTACATATTAGCATCTGATAATTTTGTTTTGCCCGTATATAGATTCTGTTTGGTCTAGTCCATGTTACATGCAAGAGGACAATTTAGAGCTTAAAAATTAAAGTTGGACTCTTATTTAATAGTTTAAGCTTCTCAATAGTTGGTCTTAACTGATCCAATGGCTGAAAATGCAAGTAGCAATATTTGTTAAAAAAGAGATGCCATAAGGGTTTCATCTAACTCACTTAAACAATGACCAAAAACAAGTACATAAAAATAAATATCAAATAGTCTACATCATTTATAAGCTTCTCTATTTCTGAAGGTTCCATCTTTGAAAATCGATCAACTGTTTGATGACTATGTATGAAGTTGCATAAGGAATAACACTCCTAGCACCTCATTATAGGTGACAAAGTTGACATTTCACTAAGATTACAACAAAACATCAGAAAGACATCAATGAATGTTTAAACAAAATGAAAATTCGGTGCAATCTAAAATATAACTACTGACAATTGCAGAGATACTAAATTGAATTTTACCTCAATGCATCATGTCCTCAATGTTGAGCTGTGACAAACAAAAATGGTAACATCTCTACAAACGATTCAGTTGCAAATAGAAAGTTTCCCTGTCCACTCATCGGCCACCCCATAATCAAGACTTAGCTCCCTCAAAGGAGGGATGTTCTCCATTGCAAAAAGCATAAGGTGGGGGAACATCAAGTTATTGTGATCATACAACACAAACTGAATCATCACATTTGGAGTTGGACTGTGACTAATATAACAAGCAACATTTCGCATTCTTGATACATCCATTGCAAAATCGAGAGGTGGTATAGAGGGATAAGACGGGCGCATATAATCAGAAAATACCTGAGACAAATCCCCCCACTCTGTCCACCTTGCAGAAAAGCGATTCGGATAAATCAAACTATCACCATTCATAGCAATAATCTGTGCTTGCTCCATCGTTAGAACAACCCCAGTATATTCACATATAAAAGCACCAGCATGTATCAAGTCCAAAGACCTGACTCCCCAACCTGTCTCCCTAGACCTAAACACTTCCAATCTATTTCTCAACCCTCTTTGAGAAACACGGTTTCGACAACTTGGCGGACACTTACAAAACGCTCCACATTCAAATATTACCGGCTTCCCTCTCAAGAGACTACCATTACCATTATAAGCAAACTCACCTCCATTCTTCAAAGCACAAAAGCAACCATCAGTACAACCCAAAATGCAATCACATCCAGAACCGTTACTCCCTTGATTAAACACAAATGGAGGAAACACAGTCTTCGCGAGATACTCATAATACAAAGGATCATGATCCTTATCAATATCATTAAACAAAAGAACCGGCACATTCTCCTTCTTATTCGATATGTCCAGACTAAGATAACCCATTGGCCTCACTGATAATGGCTTACTCCTAAGAGTCTCAGCAAACCTCAAAATCGAACTACCCATTTCCGGTTGCCCTTCAATTCTTACTAGTTTATACTTGTAAACACCAAAACCAGACTTACCCACATCAAACCAACAATCAAGAATCTTATACAAGCCATCATAAACATACACTTTACTACTCAAACTACGTTCATATTTAATGCCTCTTATGACTCTTACCTCAATCCCATAATGCATACTCCTCTCCAAAGCAAGATTCCCTCCTTCCAACTTCTGATGTTCACACTGCTTATTAAATTTATCTTGTCCACCATGTCCAGTGTAAATTATAAGATCCCCTGCATCTTCGTCGTCCTCATAACCGCCGGAAACGATGACACTCGTCGCGATAGGCTCTCCATTCGAGCTCTGACTTCCGGGCAGGTAATCAATCCCAGCTTGAGGCTGACCATGTAATCCAACAACACACAACTCCATTCTAAAGAAGAACAAGTCACCAATTTGAACACCAGGGATCGACCCCACGATTCTTTTATCGCGATTAAGCCACAAGCCGCGATCTTTCATCACTGAAGAAGCGGTTAAATCGCCACGTGCCCGCTTCACGTGACCTTCTCCTCTTCTTTTCTCGTCTTCATCAACAGCGAAAATGCGCAAAGAATCATAAACCATTCTTGTTCTTCTTACAACATCACGAAAGTACCTCTCATCTTCGAGGTTCAAATCCGTAACACGGACGAGCTCCGAAGATCGTCTCGGAGGTCTCGGACGCGGCGAAACGACCGCGTTTGACAGCTGGTTTTCTTGGTTTACAGGCACAATAGCGCGAGAATCAGGGTCCAAGACCTCGACGTCGCCGGATTGCTCTAACCTTTTATTGAAAGCTGAACGGAAGAGCTCGGAGATTCGGAAGAACTCGGTGTAGACGTTGTCTTGATCGGAAGACTGAGAGGCTGGGGTATTTTCGGAATTAGCCAAAAATGTAGGGGTAGAACTGGAAAAGAATGGTTCAGGGTGATTTTGTGGGCATTCAAGTTGATGAATCTGGATGGGTTCGTCCAATGGTTCGGTTTTGGGTTCGATTTTGGGGGTTAAGAGCGCAGAAGCGGCGGCGGTAGAGGTGGTGGCAGTGGCGGCAGTAACTGGCGACGGTAAGAGATTGAGGTCTTGAAATGGAACAAGAGAACCCATTTTTGAGAAAGAGAGGAAGTTGAGTTGAGTGAGGGAAATTGCATGGGAAAATGGGTTCAGTTAGGGTTTTGCAAAGAATCAAAGATTCAAGGAACTTTCATGGTGGTGGTTGTTCTGATCTTCTGAAGAACAAAGAAAGACAAGTGTGTTTCAAACTTTCAAAGTCAGAAAAACAAAAAAAAAAAAAAAACAAAAATGGTTATTCTTTTTTAACCAAAAAAATAGCTAATTTTCGTTCATAAAAAGAGACCAGTTAGGCCTCACTCTCACAACTGCAACTCGCTTAATTTTTACCTTATTATATATTTCAGTTAAATATATTATAAGGAAAATATTAAACACTACCCATTTTCTTATAAATTTTTTCTCACAATTTACGCGTGACAGTTTATTATAATAAGTCTCATTTAATAAATTACGATTGATCAATTATAAACTGTCACATCAGAGTTATATCAGCTCGTAATGAGATCCACTTGAATCCCACCTAATAAATTATGGTTAACCAATTACCGAAGTTGTAAAAAAAAAGTTAGTGCGAATAAGTTATAGGTATAATATTACTCATATTATAATTAACCTCTAATATGTAATTTTAAATTTTTTTTAGACTTACCAACCATTCTAACAAATTTATTAATTCGAAATATATACAAAAATAAAGTCAGGCCATAGTAAATTATATATTTAACTTAATTTGAAATACTAATTAATAATTATTTATGGATGAATTAAAAACTAACGAGGTGGCATATAAATAATCATTTATAATTACTTATTCATGACCGTTAGATTAAAGAAAATTTAAATAAATAAATATTATTAAGAAATAAAGATATTTTAATTTTTTTTAATCAAATTCTTAAGCTTCTCATTTACTTTAATTAAGTAATTCAAAATAAAAGTCAAAAAGTATATTTAATATTCATAACTTATAAGACTAAACTTTAAGTTTTTCAGTTAGAAAAAAAAATTAAATTAATATATTGACTTATTTATATTGCTATGCTAATGTCATCATTGTATTCTAGACTCTTCCATCAAGAAAAAGTTATTTTTGGTTTTTATAAAATTATATGTTATACATCTCAGAAATATATTTGAATTTCATATTTTAAATGATGTGTCATCTTATTATTAATTATTAATACTGATGTCGTCATTATAGTCTAGATACTTCCATAAAAGAAAAGTCATTTTCAAAGTTTTAGAAATGATTCAAACCTATGAATTCTTAAATAATATACGTAAAAGTTTTTATCTAACCACTTGATATCTTATAAGTGGTTAATATACTGTTAATGTCGAAAGTTTTTATCTAACCACTCGATATCCTATAAGTGATTAATATACTGTTAATGTCGATGCCGATGTCAATATCGATGTAGTTATACTTTAGAAACTAGACTTTTCCATCAAGAAATAGTCAATTTTGGGTTTTAATGAAAAGTGTAATACTACACATCACAAAATAAGTAATATTATTCATCCTAAACATTTATCTCAAATTTCATATTTTTGTCACTATATTGACAATGTCATATCATTTAATACAATCACCACTTTATTTATATTTCATTGCAACCTATGAAATTTACTGTCAGTTTAGGAAAAAGTAGTATTATCGTCCCAAAATATATGCAAAATTGGCATCAATCTTATCTTATTTGGTATTTTGTGTTACTACACATCCCAAAATATATTTCAAAATTCATATGCAAAATAATGTGTCATCTTATTTGACATTCTCATGTCATTCACCAACCATCGCTTCATTTACATCTCAACTGCACATAGGATTATACATCACTTGGGATAATAATTCCAAGATAACTTTTGGAATGTCTATAATCGTATCAATACCACGTAGGACTTCATATCATTTGAGATGAAAATTTTGGGATGACGTTTTGGACATCTAACATTATTGGAACATAAATAATCATTCAAACGAATGTTTCACCAAAAAAAAAAAAAAAAAATCACTTTTTTTTTTATATTTTCTCTTAGTTAAAAAAACAAAAATACTTTAAACAATTTTGATAAGTAATTTTTATTTATTTATTATAATGTGTAAAACCCTAATATGATGAAAACTCCTAGAAGGCGGGTGAATAGGAGTTAATACAAATTAATGTGGAATAATAAATTTCTCAATTACCCAAATAATATGAACAATCAATAACAATAAATATGAGCAATAAATGTGCGGTAAGTAACAAATGAGTTGAGAGAAGAGAAATGCTTAGAGATTAATAGTGGTTCGGAGCTTTGATCAAGATCCTCCTATATCTACTTCTTCAAGACAATCTCCTTGAAGTTTCACTAGACTCAGATTTCGCATTTACAATAGTTTGATAAGATTTCACCTTTAGAATAGTTTGATAGGATTTCGCATTTAGTTTTAAAGGATTTCACTCACAAAGATAAATCAAATATTTTTGTGAATGATTGTCTCTAAGCTAGGCTGATACATACAAATGGGTTTTGAGTTTCTCTCTAAGGATATGAGTTTGAGTACAAATGAGAGAGTAAAGTATGTTTGGATTGAGCTCGACGACTTGCAAGAATGATGATGGATTATTGTACTATTCTCTCTCTCTTTCTTTTGCAATAACTCTCTCTATTATGTCTTCACCAACCTCTAAAATAAATTAGAGTTGTTGCTTCATTTAATGCATTGCTGTAGCTTTCTGCAAAACTACAGAACCCAGTGGAACGGGCGTTCGATTATCGAGAACGGGCATTCTTGACAAGAATGATCACTTTTCTTTAAATTTTAGGATTTGAAATGGTCATTCCCCTACTTGGAATGGTTGTTTCCCTATCACGAATGAGCATTCTCCTATCGCAAATGGGCGTTCCATCTTAGATCTCTTAAAGTCCAGAAATTCCAAAACGTTGAACGATTTCTTGGAATGGCTTGATCAACTTTGGGAACGAGCGTTCGTCGAGGTCGTTCGGGTCTGACACTTTACTTTTCCAAAACCTTGACTTGAGCTCGAATCTTATAAGTCAAAAGTCTTTACTTGATCTAGAACGTGCATTTTTCTTATGGAACGGGTGTTCCTCTTCGGATTGAAGAATTGTGTCAAGATTCCATGACGATGAACAATGTGATGGAACTACGTTGTTCATGTGGAACGTTCTTGAAGAACGACCGTTCTATTTAGTTGTTCCTTCTTCAGATGTGTGTTTCAGCCTTTTCGTCTAAGTCTTTAAATATGTTTGGAATGGCTTGACTAGACAATCGTTCAACTTGGAACGACTTGACTGGAAGATTAGGTCATTTTGGGCAGAATGATAAACGGCATCATAGAATGATGTCGTTCCAACTTGGAATGGTTTGATTGGGAGTTATTTATAAATAATTGATTGGAATGGGCGTTCAATCTGTGTGAACAGTTGTTCCACCTGGAAAACTGTATTTTCATTTTTGGTTATGTCTTATGTCATACCTTCACACATTTGGTAGTCTTTAAACATTCTTTTGATTAGTTTTAGCACATCAAAACATGAGGGTTCAACATATTGTAATGGTATAAACTATATAATATACAATTATGCATATAAATTTTTTATATAAAATTATTATGTTATTTGTTATTTACTCAAATTGTGATCAAAGTGATCATTTGAAAAGAAACTAGATCACAATTTGTGGTGTCTTTGGACGAACGATTGAGGCATTACTTTTTGATAACATAATTGAGATATTTTTAGGATATTTGAATTTTGGACCAAATAAACCAAAGTTTTGCATACAATTAATTAGATTATAAAAACTATCTCTGGGTGGTCGAGTAATTCGATAAGTACTCTTGGGTATATTACTCAAGAGGTCTTGAGTTCAAGTCCTTCCTCGGTTGCTAATAAGGGTAGTCATTATAGCTTTTACCTAGCCGGTAGTTTTGGGGTCTTAGGATATTAGTTTAGGTGCGTGTAAGCTGTCTCAAACACCCCCAATCATAAAAAAAAATTAAATTAAATTAAATTATAAATTTTTTGAAACAAATATAACTTCATTCCTTGTTCTCGAAACAAAAGAGAAAATGGGAATTAATTATCATTTATGAGTCAATGACTTAAATGCCCTTGCCTGCTCTAGTTGGATGGTCATTAGTTAAATAAGAGAGAAAGTGATCAGGTAGAAAAAGTGATGTGATGTAGCTCAAATGCCCACACTAAGGGGTGGACAAAAATACTCGTAACCCAAACCGAATTTTTCGAGTACCCAAAAAACCGAGTTGCTTCGGATAGTATTTAATTAGGTGCCTAGTTTTTCGATTCGAGTACAGGGTTATATTTAAAATATAAATCAGTTACCCAAAACCTGGTTAAAAAAAACTTAAAAGTAAAATCTCAAATCGATTTATCCTAAATCCTAATAACCTTCTTCATTTTTCCGTTTCTCCATTTCTCTCAATTTCTCCAGTTCGCAAACTTCCCATATTCTTTTTCATTTCTCCATTTATCTCCACTAATTTCTCGATTTCTCTATTCTCTCCACTAGTCCACTGATTTCGCTCTCATCTTCTTCTTCATTTCTCCATTTCGCTCACATTAGTTTTGTTCTCTCCACTGATTTCACTCGCATCAGTTCATTGAATATTTGGATTTTTTAAATTATTACAACCATTATCTCATTGCACTACGCTGTTTTTTTAGACTTCTACCACAAATTTTTGGATGAAGAAATCTACTACAGATTGCTATTGGATATTTGGATTTGGATGGTGAAAGATGTTCTTATTGGATATTTGGAGTGGGTGTAAAACATTTTATGTTTGGTTTGTGTAAAACATTTTATGTTTGGTGTGTGTAAAACATTTTTTGTTTGATTAAAATTTGAGAAAGTTTGAAAGAAATATTGCAATTTTTGTTTGGAAGAAATATTGCAAGAAATTCGGGTCTACATTCGGATACTCGGTAACTGAACCAAAATTTCAGGTACCCACATATTCAGGTATTGCTGGTTCGATTACTAGATACTATTTTTACACTACCCGAATATTTGAGTCGGGTAGTGAAAGGGCACGTTTGGGTCGGGTACTCAGTTTTGCCCACCCCTGCTCACACTGTGTCATGACGTCAACTGTGATGCATGTGGGGTCTTCATTTCATTACCCTATTAACCAATGCCACGTCAATAACATAGAGTG